GCTACGTCTAGCTGCTGACAGGTTAAGGCTTATATGATCTTTTGTTTTAAAAAGAAACCTTTTGCATTGATGAGCAATCTCTGAATAATTTGACCAACGCCTTGTTTAAGGAGACATCCCTCAGTTTCAGTGTCTTGGTATGTGTGTCCTTACTTTGCAAAGGTGTGTCAGGATAAGAAGAGGCCCACAAGGTTGATTCCACTGCCTCCTACTTAGGATTGATCAGAAACTTAAACTTCCATAGCACACAGGGATATTTGTTTTAATTATATACCTTTTGAGGAGTCAAAAGTAAATTAAAGTGAAAAGGTTTTAGCTTATCGGTACTGTACATATAAATATGGAAAAACAAGAAATGTGTGTTGAAAGTATAACATTGAACATAAAAAATGCCATAAAATTATAAAACACAAAGCAGATGATAAGTACGGTATGAGCTAAAACCTTTTTACACTGATATTTAATAAAACAACTTTAAACTGTCTGTGGTCAACTGATTATCCTTAAATTTTGAAAGTTCATTAATTACAATGTGGAAAACTGAAAATAAATTCAGTCCAACATGGATTAGTTTGAGAAAAACAAATAGAAGCAAGTGAATTCAAAGTACAGAACTGATGGAAAAGAAAAGGGCAACTGACAATACCCTAATTCTGCTCACTCGTGTGTCTACCAGACAACGGCTCAAATACACTGACAAATGGTGTTCAAACAGTTTTGTGTATTCAACATTTAGATGTATTATTCATCAAAGTAAGACATAATAATCATACCTCACCCAGTTGCAACCCATTCAACACCGTCAAACTCACCTGTTCATAATTTTCTAAAACACTTCAAAGCAGCCACCCTCAATTGCAGTCAAGATAAAAAAACAAGTAGGTTTGAATGAGTTGAATGATTGGCAACCAACCTGTAGAGGACATGATTAGCAGGTCCCACCTTTATGATGAGATTGAATATGATCTTAAAATTATATGAACAGCATTCGCAAATGCATTTGTACCCATGTTTGGTAAACAGTAAAGGTACCGGTACAGATATCAGCAGAGCTGGTTTCATTACATGAGTTCTGATGTAACTTCACCTTGCACCACTGTCCCTTATAAAACAAGAATGACACCCATTCATTTTCTAACTGCTTTTTCTAATTCATGGTCACAGAGGAGCTGGAGCCTATCCCAGCAAGCAACAGGCACAAGACGGTACAAACTGGACAGGACCAGTGCATCGCTGGGCAGATTCCTCACAGACACTCACACCTATGGCCAATGTTCCCAGAAGCAAATCAACCTACCACTATGTTTCTGGAGTGTTAGGGGAAACCAGAGCACCTGGAAGAAACCCACATGAACTTGGGATTAACATACAAATCCACACAGATAGCAGCCAAGGTCTGTGAGGCAGCGGTGATAACCACTGTGCCACTGTGTCACCCAGTCCAATACCCACCAAAGAAAATACTTTGTATATCAAGACTGGACAAATTTGTGGCCTCAGGGCACAGAAGGTGATCTGGTTTACAATCTACCTCTCATCTTAATTTCTTCACTGAAATAATTGGCTAAGATGGGACATTGCCTGCATTTTAAGTCTTAATCAGGTGCGGACCGCATCACCATTATCATCATCATAAGCTTCCCTCACCAGCTTCCCAGCAGTAACATTACTGGGTGTTGAGCAAGCATAGTGTACAACATCCGGTCTGGCCCCATCATTCCATCTTGCACCACAAATCCATAAAAACCATCAAATTATAAAATGTGATCAGCATCATAACATTAGTTATGCTTTATAGTATCACTGTCTGTTAGTACTTCCAAACAAACAAATTTGAAAAAAGAAAAAATGCTATAAACATTTTTTTCCATCGTCCTGGAGTCTGTCATAAAGTGTAGCTGCAAAGAGCATTTTTGAAGTATCTACAGTACAATGTCCACAGAGTCCACTAAAGGATTGTAGACCACAGGAAGGCAAGCCTGATCTTTGAGAGCGTCTGCCAACAGGGAAGAAAAATACAAAAAAAATGTTTCAATGAGGGAAAAGTGGGCAGTCAAAACATTTGAAAGTACCTGCCAAGAGTGTGGCACCAGGAAATTCTAAATAGTGCTGCCATGTCAAGCAAACATCAGATTCCCTAGTGGTGAAAACAAGAAGGACCATCCCTCTCTTTTTTTTCGAGCATACGGCAGGATCTCTCCCCAAAACATTCATTCAGAGTTTAGATGAACAAAGGTGAATGCCTAAAGTCATGCTGTTCACAAACGCCTCACATTATACATGAAACCCTACTTATTTGCTGCTTTAAAAATATCTCAGGTTGTTAGTGCACTTCATGACTGCGGTTGAAATTTCCTCCCTTGCTTTAGCACCACTGTCAACATAAATTCTGTTTATTTTAGCCATGTAATGTCTATTTGCCATAGTTTCCATAACTGGTTTACTCGCCAGACAGTAGATATGTTTGAGCTGGACTGCTTGCTTGAATTGCCCAAGGTGTTTTTTCACATATAGTGAAATAGGTGTTAAAAACACTGTACCTGGTGATGCTGTCGAACACTTTTTAAGGTTTCAAAGTATTTACCTTTTCAACTTACAAGTGTTATTATTTTTTTTTATTCTAAAAGAGCTTTTGGTGGGTTTTTTTAATGAATAAGGATGATTGTTTTGATGGAAAGCCTTTTTAAAACAAACACAAGAAAAGCAAATTTATGCACATGTATTTTCTTGTTATTTTTCAGAAGAGCTGAGTGCCTAATTTAAGTCTAATTTATTTTGCTGTGTTTTTTTCTCTCTGGCATTCATTGAAGCACCCCTCTCCCACTGCCACCACCAATGCAGTAACCACTGGTTTAGCAGTGATGGGCTCTAACACTTCATCCACATGGCAGGGTGATTTGTCCTCAAACCCAAGCAGATTAAAGCCAAAATGTCAGTAAAGCCCTTTCCCACATCACAGGGACTGGTCTGTATCTTCTGAACAGTTGGTGGCTCACAAAATCCTCCACTTGAAGAACAGAAACGACTTTCATGATAAACGTCTTTGGCTACATTGGCTACTGGACAAAGTCAGGAAACACAAGGGCATGAGGCTTATCAATGAAATATTACAACAGTGACTACGTGGCCTGTTAGAAAAAGAAAAATCATACTGTTTGAAATATTAAATGAGGAACAACCGAGTTACAGTATATCCATAACCTATTTTGTAAACCACAGCTGTATTATATCAATGTGTTTATTGCACAGGGAACCTTTTTGGGGTGCTTCCTATCAGTATACAGTACTGCATAGGCAATGAAATACTGACTGGGCCTGGGAACACACATCATGTGTGGTTAACTGGTACAGTATATCTGTTATATTTAGACCAATGATATTCACTCCTAGTTCTAGAGTACCACAATTTTTCTGGTTCGTTCCACACTGGACTTTCAATTACTTTATTTAAACAAACTGTTCTTATCAATATTACTATTTTTTTCCTGTTTTTTCTTTTCCTGTGGGAGATTAGAAATTACGTCTAAAACCCGTTGGATTACAGTTCTCCAGCACCAGGAGTACTGGTCTGATTTAGACCACGTTTCAGTCCAATTGCTATATCCAACAATGTTATAGCCATTTCTATAATGCTAGTACAATTTGAAGACTTACTGTAGGTCCAGTATATGTGTGCCAAAATTCATAATTCAGAACAGGTTTGGTGCAATACCTATGAAAGCACTGAAGAAAAATTACGTCAAGGACTTTATGCTAAATGGCAGTATAACTAGCCAGTATAAACAGGGTTATTAGATTTAAGTATTTAAGCTATGTTATTGCTGTATCCTTGCATATTCACAGTGTTATGTTATGTACAGTATTTACTCAGATTTTATGTCAGATCCTACAAAACTCTAAATGTTAGAGCTGCTGTTGGATTCATAGAGAAATATAAACAGCCAACACACTTTATTCATAGAAGACAATAAAAGGAAGGACAGACATCTAAGAAACATTTCTAAGGGGCCATAGGTGACAGTGACAAAAACGAATTTTGCAATCTGAAGACAATAAAGGAATAAAGCGAGATTTTTATTAATCCACCATTCTTTAAACACTAGCGACATATATACTGATACTCATGCTCTGAATTCAAAACAATGCGTAAAATAAATATACAATTTCCTTAAGCCATAAATTCTGACTGTGTAACTAATAACTGATATGTTGTTATTAACTCCGTAAGCCCAATATCATGTAGGCTCTTATGGGCATTTCAAATGATGATATACAGTATAGTACTGAAAAAATAAAGCATACGTTTGGTTATCACCTCAATACATACATATAACACACCAGTATTAGGAATAACACACATTACTATTTACATAATTTTTTACTCACTCTCTCTCTCTCTGCGGTTTACAGTGAGCAAGAAAAAAAAAAGTTTGAAGAACACGCAACTATGTTTTACTGTCTAGACTGCAGCATTCTCCGTAGAGTACGACTGAACAATTCTAATACTTCACTTAACGTTAGGATCTGTGAAATATACAGTACATCTGCTTTAGTTTAGTAAACCGGTAAAAGAGAAGTTAAATGTGGTATTCTATTACTAAAACTTTTCAAACCGAAATACCATGTACAAAATCTTCATATGCTTTACAAATCTTTAGATAAAATACTTTTTTTTTACACTCAATGAACAAAACTAAATCTCACTCTATTGAGACGTTTTTAATATTCTCACAAGCGCATTTGTGAGAATATTCCGCGGCTACTGGATGTGTTTCAGGTTGTCAATAAACAAAACTAAATCTAACTACAGTATATTGAGACGTTTTTAGTGGTCTCACAAGTGCATTTAAATCCAGCGGTTACTGGATGTGTTTCAGGTTGTCAAAGTCCAGTGTACGATGACGCTATTCTGCTAAGACAAAAGTGCACCTGACCAGGTGTTTAGACAAGGGATAGTGGGGAGCGTTGCTCGAGGGTGCTAACTATTCGGATTTTCTTACCTTATAGTAAGCTAGCTGAAGAAAGTTATACGGTGTCCTCCTGTTGAAATCTTGAATGACATCTTCGCTTGCCATGTGCATGGACTGGGACCCGGTTTTCTTCTCGATGCAGTCATTCAGGCAAGCAGCCCTTCTAAGCACCGAATCGAAGAACTGCAGGTCCGAGTCGGATCCATCTAAAGGGTGCTGATCCTTGCATTTCAGCCTGCATCGGACTTTGGTGTGGCGAAGTTCAGAGTAACTACGGAGCGCTTTCTCCATGTAGTACACCACACTTTCATAGTCACTGCTATAGAAGGCTTCAACACCACTGTCATACAGGCGATCGAAAGGTTCCAGTAAGGCTGTAGCTGAGATTGGTGAAACAGCCTGGAGCAAAACTGATACCCCAGCGAAAATGCTGTACTGGAATAACGTTAAATCCATCTTCTGCTAAGACTACTGTTGTCGCTGCGCTCGCACTTGCAGCACGAAATCCCTATAAACCCTGTGTGTCAAAGCACGCCAGGATGATTAGCGGAGTCCAGAGAGAAGGATGCGAGTCAATTGAGGGAAAAAAGCGTGAAACACTATACTAAACCATTCAGCTACTGCGGTGTCTTAAAGGGGTAGCTGAGGCAACTTCAGTTCACCCACGGCTCCCAACGTTTCTTGTAGTAATGAGCAAGAACTGTCACTGTTTTCTGATAATGGGTACCCCGGTCTATTTAAGATAATCAAATGGGCTGTACATTTTTAAACAAGACGTAATCACCTGTGATGTTAGAAGCAACCTAGTCTACACGTGATTTGTTAGGGCACAAGACTGCAGTGTCAGAAGTCACGTCATACTACAGTATATAAACTGACAATGATACATTTTACATTTTGAAGGATTATTGCATTATAATATGCCTATGGAGCAATTAGCTATCTACATTATCTCTAACATGAGCCATCCCCGCAGTCAAACATTTTTCTAGCTGGAAGGTACTTTATATAATTTAATTACAATTACACTATGCTCAATTCTTATCACTGACTGAGCGGAAAATTCCGAAGAACTATCGCCACCCCCACAGATGCCCCCCTCCTCTTACTCCCAACCAGCTGACAGCTGAGATTCCAGGTCAAACTGGGAACTGCTGTCTGCTGGACAGCATTGCCAGTCACTGAGAAGTCTAGAAAATTGTATCCTTAGAAAAAAGAATCAGGAACCCCTACAGTGTTGGGAATGTGCAACAGATTAAGCTTTGGAACACGTGACAATACTCTTGGGCCAAAGACCTTACTTAATCAGAGATGATCATTTTAACAGCTATGGTAACAATCTGCGGAAACTATTGACGATCGAAATATTAATTTCCAAGAGATGTGAAGGGATTTGGGGGAGATTTTTTTTGGATTTGGAACCACACAGCCACGTCAACACTTTTTTTTCAGAAAATGAGACATGGCGGTTTAACACGTTCTACCATTGTTTACACGAATTTTATGGTATTTTAAACTCGATCGGTATTTTTGTTTGTAAATGTACTTCCTTCTCTAATGTACAAGAGCCGTTTTATCTAACTCTTTCGACATTTATTTTTTATTAAATTAATTGTTTAATTAATGTTTAATTAAATGATTGGAGACAAGTAAAAATTAATGATGTGCATACTCAGTCCATGTTACAAAGGTTATAAACACTGCTTTTAGCATTTTGAGTCCAGTTATTAACCAAGTTAAAAGTACAGTTAAACCGTTTGCTACTTTTAAAGAAAAAGCCTTTTTCTTACTTAATAAACTAATAATAATCTTAGTAACCAGTCAAAATCTTCTAACCTGTCAAAGATTCATGTTGTAACATAATTCCCCTTTATTTACTTGAAGATCCTTGATCCAAAACCATCTTTGGAAACGGACCACCAAAATGATTCTCCACCACCTTTTCCGAGACGTTTAGTTTCAAACATCAGACAAAGTTTACCTTGCTGAAGTTTTTTTTCTTTAGTTTTTGTTCCTTTACTTGTTGTTATGAAACCGATTTGAACTGCTGGGCTTCTGGTGCACCTGTCTACAGTATATGTCCTGTGAAGTTGTTTCCAGTCCAGGCCTGTCTGGTACTATACAGTATGTCAATGTTTTTTGTCTGTTGCTGCTTTGCGTTTTTCTGTTTATCTGAAGAAATGCTCCTAGGAATGAACATACAATGTTCTTTGCTGGTATATAAAAGTGAAAAATGTACAGTACCCATTATACATATTGTTATTGCAAGTGGACTCGAACTATTTGGGTGATATGACAGAGGAAACCAGTGTCCCCCTGGCCTTTTACAATCATGGCCTCCTAATTATCCCCATCTATAAATTGGCTTCATTATTCTGTTCTCTTCCCCATTTATAACTGATATATGGTGATCACACTGGCACACTCTGGCAACCTTCACATTATCCACACTGGTGGTGTTGGAGGGGAGTCCCCATTACCTGTAAAGCCCTTTGAGCGGAGTGTCCAGAAACGTGCTACATAAGTGTAGGGAATTCTTGCTCTTGCTGTAATGCATGGCATAATGGTACAACTGTGAATAAATATGAGGTAAGGGACTACTGTAGTTGTGAAAATTGCTTGTACTTATATTGCACTTTTCATGCCAAAGGATCGTTTGGCTGGGCCCTGCTTCCTCTATCACAGAAGTGCAGCCCGCACTTGTGTGATGCATGACAGCCACTATACACCAGGCTAATTGCTTTCCCCTGTTGAACAAGCAGAGTCTTGGTGTTTTAATAACCAAGCAACCAGGACCCCAGTTTATCATCTTATCCAGAGGATGCCACAGTGAGCCTAGTTATCATATTGCAGCACTTGGCTAGAAATTCTGGTCCCAAGGGTAAAGTGTCACCTGTCACCAAGATCACTTATAGCCACAACCTGCTGTTCCAGAAACAGAACTGACCAGGCCTTCCTTGCTTAGCTACAGACATCCAGCAACATCAGGCTACAAGGTATTAACACAACTGGTGCTATTGGATACCAATTACTGTATATTCTAAGATTGTTTACTGGGGATGGTTTCTGGCCTCCAACAATATCTCATATTGAGTACAAAGCCATGATATACTGTAAATCACATTGGGCAGAACAAATTGTGAGGTGTGGTTTTGATATAGACAGGGTCCTAGGCGAGGAGCTTGCCATGGAATGAGGATTTATTTCGATATAATTTCTGTAGGTTCTCATATTTTGAAATATTCTATACATTGAAAGCAATTCTGATAGGTTGACTCTGCTGCAGTAGAACCAATAAAAATAGTTATTGGTCTAATAGGACCAAACAACACAAAAAAGCGTGTTTGCAAAGTAAAAATATTTTTTTATTTAGATTATTTTGGGCTTGATGTGTAAAGGTAAAACAAGAAATGTAGGAAAAAAAAGTATGATGTACAATTATATGTCTTCTTTGGTTTTTTGTGATGGATTATAGTGTTGAATTATACTAGACACAAAATGCACACAGGTAATAAACCATATAGTCCAGTGAGAGAACTGAGAACATTGTAAAAGTCCAATGTCTACACAGTGAAGCTCAGCTATGTCAGAAAAGAGAAGAGATGGCACATACTGAGACTGAAATAGGTGAAACCAAGAGGATCAAGTTTTATTAGGAAGCTACAAAAATCAAGAGTTCCAAGCTGTGGAGTGAAAATAGACACTTAAAAAAGTTCTATTATACTGGGTCTCTGCAAGCGCTTATCTGGCTGCATTAAAATTAAATTGACATATTTCTGTATATTTAAGTTCAGGATTGAATATCTTTTTGTTTCCATATCTGTGTGGGCCTCCTATCTTATTTTTCGGCAATCAGATTTATGTCTCTGATTTTTTATAGGTTCACGCACTGGTCCTGAACTCTGTAGTGCACTAACATCTGCCCTTCTAAATCTTTAATAGTGTGTACTGCAGTTAAAAAAAATACAGCCAAATGTAATGAAACCATAGTAAATTGTAGTTTTCACAACCTGTCGAGGGCAGCACAGTCACATTTCTGTTTCACTTAATAAAACAAAGAGATATACAACAGGTTCTAAGTGAACAGTACTGAACTTCTGTTATATTATTGGAAAGAAAATCCTCTTTTATGTAACTGCAGAAACCTGGTGACTCAGGCATAACCTAAAGTGACTGATGAGGCTTTCTCTTACAGTTGCAGCTGGATGTGATGATTTTGACTTGAGAAGATACACAAGGCGGCAATGGGAGGGCACACACCAGAATACCTAGTGTAGACCTGAGATGGAACAAATGATGTGAGTGGAATTACTGGGGTTAGGGTAGGTACTGTAACTGACATTGCTCAGACAAAGGTAAATACTCACTATCAATATGCTAGCATTCAATCTTAATTTGCTATTTTCAATTAAGCAGCCAAAAGCCTGAGAGCCCCTCTCTAGAGTTAGGTTGTGTGACCCACAGAGAGTGAACAGTACATAGCCCCAGTATCCTACATAATCTGCTGCAAATACTTTGCTTGGGCTGACTTCCTGCAAAGACCTTCTATCAGTTGTTGCTGTAGAGTTCCCTTTTACTGGTATCACTTGGAGTCCAGATTGGCAGGAAGCATACTTTTGTGACACATAAATAAGTAAATTCAAAAGAAAGAAAAGTTGTTTAAAACCAGATAATTGTTTTCCATATTGTCTCCAGAAACATCTACAGCGAAATGTACCTCATCACTCTTACAGTTGGTCTCCATCTAGTGTCTGGAAACAGGCATCATGACAAGAACCTTCAGAATCTGTTCAATATACTGTAATTAGTATACTTAAAACTGACATCCTTAAAAATTTCTTAACTGCATGCATCACAATAAACCATGGTGTAAAAGTCCATTAGTGTTAGACAGTAACTGATTACATACACTAATGGACCACAGAACACTTTGCTGTACTGTATTCTATATTGTTTTTCCAGAGAAAATAGAATCAGCATTCAAAAGCAGTATGAAAAATTATATTTTGTTGGAATAGTTGTAATAATTTCCAGTCTTGCAAAAGAAGAAACTAGGAGTCTTGCAGAACATCCATACTAGCTTATATAGCGTGGAAACACAACGCAATAGTAAAATCCATCTGTGCATTTGTTGTGGAGATGTTGAGTTTCACTGCCCTCTAGTGGATATTATTATTAATAATAATTCCGTACACTTATATTGCGCTTTTCTGGACATTCCACTCAAAGCGCTTTACAGGTAAAGGCTCATCCACCATCAGCAATGTGCAGCCCCCACCTGGATGATGCGACGGCAGCCATAGTGCACCTGATGGCTCACCACACACCTGCTCTCTGTAGGGAGGAGAACAGCGTGATGAAGCCAGTTCGTAGATGGGGATTATTAGGAGGCCATGATTGATAAAGGCCAATCGGAAATTTTGGCAGGACGCTGGGGTAACACCCCTACTCTTTTCGAGAAAGTCACTGGGATTTTTAATGACCACAGTGATTCGGGACCTGTTATAACGTCTAATCAGATAGATGGCACCTTTTTACAGTATAGTGTCCCCATCACTATACTGGGGCATTAGGACCCACACAGACCGGAGGGTGAGCACCCCCTGCTGGCCTCACTAGCACCTCATGCATCACCTGCAGGGTGATATGGCTGCTGGCTAGTAATTAGTGTATGTAATCCGTGCTGATTTAGCTGTGTTTTATACTATTATGTGTTCCCATCACCAGGTAAATCATGTAAATTACATATACTACGTAATATTACAATATGTAGTTGTAACAATATATTTTTTCAGATTTCGCAAAAAAATACATTAATGTATGGCATGGATTATACACGTGTAG